GGCACAGTTTGCAATTGTGCCTTGAATATTTCACTCTTGAGAAATTCCCATCCATCCGTAACTCCCTTGTCTTTTAGTACCTGTGTCCACGAAGTGTTTCCTTCATTTTTCGGAAATCAGCTCTCCTAAAGTCCTTGTCTTACTTTCGGCCTTCCTTTGTACCTCAAATTGCAGGGTACCTCTCACATGCACCAGGTAGCAAACCCCAAGGTACATCTCGGGCCGTGGGACTCATTTCCTTCTCTTTGTTTTATTTTCTGAACTTTCGGTCTGTCTCTGAATTTTGTGGGAATGCATTTCAGGTGACCTTGGGCAAGTCATATTCTCTCTGCCTTTGCTAGGGGAAGGCAAAGGCAAACCCTGTCTGAACAAGCAAAAACCTTGCGACCGGTTCGCCTGTATTGAAGATTGGGCCTCGAGGGCAGAAAACAGCAGCTGCAAGGAGAACAGGTTTACATCAGGGAAACAGCACAAGGTTACCTCTTTCGCTGAGCCAAGAGGTGCCAAGAGGTGCTGACTGGAGACTTCTACTGCAGAAGCAATACAGGCCAAGGTCACGGGAATCCAAACACTGCTTACTTATTTATGTATTTACTCTATTTGTATCCCACTTTTCTCTACCCCAAGGGGATAGAGAAAACTATGGCAACTATTCAATGCCTTTGGACAACAAACAATTAAAATATATTTAAGTTAAAATTTAAAAAAATAATTAATTAAAATGCACATTAAAACATATAAAACATTGCAATCACTATTAAAATCATGCCATCCGCAATTATAAACTGGGGTCATTCCAAACATTGTTGCACATATTTCGGAGTTATTATTGAGAGCAAGGTTTTCACATTCCTTCTGAAGGCTAGGAGGGAGGGGGCAGCTCTACTATCACTGGGGAGGGAGTTCCACAACATAAAGGCCACCACTAAGAAGGCTCTGTCTCTTGTTCCCACCAGATGAGCCATAATGATCCAAAAAGCTACAGACCCATCTCCCTGTTGTGCCACCTCTACAAAGTTCTGGAGAGACTTATTTTGCATAGAATTATGGAAAAAATAGACCCCTGTCTGATCCCACAACAAGATGGCTTCAGGAAAGGCAGAAGCTGCACATCGCAAGTGCTGAAGCTGACTCAGCCCATAGAAGATGGCTTTGAAAGGCAGCAGATCACAGGAGCCGTCTTCATAGACCTGTCAGCAGCCTATGAGACTGTGAACCACCGCTGCCTCCTCCTGAGAAAAATGAAGAATATCACAAGGGATGACCACCTCACCCGCCTCATAGGAAACCTGCTACAAAACAGGAGCTTCTTTGTTGAGTTCCAGGGCCAGAGAAGCAGGTGGCGGAAACAAAAGAACGGCCTGCCTCAGGGGAGCGTGCTTGCTCCATCCATGTTCAACAAATGACCAGCCACTGCCAGAAGGGACAGAGAGTTTCATCTATGCTGATGATCGTGCCATCACTGCTCAAGCAGGGAGCTTTGAGATGGTAGAACAGAAGCTCTCCGAAGCTCTAGGTGCTCTTACTGCCTATTACAGGGAAAACTAGCTGATCCCCAACCCATCTAAAACACAGACATGTGCCTTTCACCTTAACAACAGACAAGCATCCCGAGTTCTGAGGATTATTACCTGGGAAGGAATCCCACTGGAGCATTGCAGCGCACCCAAATACCTGGGATTAGTCACTCTGGACCGTGCAGTACAAGAAGCACTGCCTAAACATCAAGCAAAAAGTGGGCGCTAGAAACAATATCATACGAAAGCTGATTGGCACAACCTGGGGATCACAACCAGACACAGTGAAGACATCTGCCCTTGCGCTATGCTACTCTGCTGCTGAGTACGCATGCCCAGTGTGGACACACATCTCACCACGCTAAAACAGTGGATGTGGCTCTGAATGAGACATGCCGCATTATCACGGGGTGCCTGCGCCCTACACCACTGGAGAAATTGCACTGCTTAGCTGGTATTGCACCACCTGACATCCGCCGGGAAGTAGCAGCCAATAGTGAAAGGACCAAGGCAGAGACATCTCCAGCTCATCCCTTGTTTGGGTATCAGCCAGCACGTCAACAACTTACATCAAGAAATAGCTTTCTAAGATCTACAGAGACACTTGCTGGAACACCTCAGCAACACAGAAATGCTGGACCACTCTCACAACCCCCATGTCAGACTACACAGAGAAACCATTGAAATCCACAAGAAAAGTGTGGACAATTTCAACAGAAAGGAGGAAACCATGAAAATGAACAAAATCTGGCTCCCAGTATTAGAAAAACCTCTAAAATTGCAACAGAACAACAACAGAGAGGAAACAAACAAGGACATCCAATCACCTCTCAACAAAAGACTGCTCCAGGCACTGCCAGGCCATTATATGCTAATCAAGGTGGTCAGTTGAAACATTCACACCTAGCTCCAGCAGACAAGAGTCCTTTGTCCCACCCTGGTAATCATTCCACAGATATATAAACCCTTTTTCCTCGTTCCAACAGACCTCACTCCCTCTGAGGATGCTTGCCATAGAAGCAGGCGAAACGTCAGGAGAGAATGCCTCTAGACCATGGCCATACAGCCCGAAAAAACCTACAACAACCCATCATCATCATCATCATCATCTTTATTTATACCCCGCCACCATCTCCCCAATGGGGACTTGAAGCGGCTTACATGAGGCCAAGCCCAAACAACAAATTACAATAAAATAAAACCACAAATGCAAACAATAAACAACAACAACATAATTACATAGAACATGTGAAAACATAACAATATAAAATTACAATAAGCACAATTACAATGACAATGGGCGGGCTACATGTAATGGTTAAAAGAGAGACTGATTAAAAACTAATTAAAACTCAGGCGAGATCAGAAAGAAACAGATTATTTGTGGAGGGGGCTCATTATAGTGGTGGTTGTGGAATCAAGCTTTCCCAGAGGTGGGGGGCATGTACTCCAATGACAAAATGTTGATATCACTGGGGAGGGAGTTCCACAGCAAAGGGGCCACCACTGAGAAGGCCCTGTCTCTCATTCCCACCAGACGAGCCTGCGAAGGAGGTGGGACTGAGATTAGGGCCTCCCCAGACGTTCTTAATATCTGCTGCCTCCTTTATTGTTGTCTGCTTCAACCTTGAACAAATAAAATGTATTATTATTATTATTATTATTATCATCATCATCAATATTGCTTGCTTGCATGCTGGCCTCAGGGGAGCGTGCTTGCTCCATCCACGTTCAACATCTGCACAAATGACCAGCCACTGCCAGAAAGGACAGAGAGTTTCATCTATGCTGATGATCGTGCCATCACCGCTCAAGCAGGGAGCTTTGAGATGGGAGAACAGAAGCTCTCCGAAGCTCTAGGTGCTCTTACTGCCTATTACAGGGAAAACCAGCTGATCCCTAATCATATATCATATATATAATATCACACAGGACGACCACCTCACCCGCCTCATAGGAAACCTGCTACAAAACAGGAGCTTCTTTGTTGAGTTCCAGGGCCAGAGAAGCAGATGGCGGAAACAGAAGAACGGCCTGCCTCAGGGGAGCGTGCTTGCTCCATCCATGGTCAACATCTACACCAATGACCAGCCACTGCCAGAAGGGACAGAGAGTTTCATCTATGCTGATGATCGTGCCATCACCGCTCAAGCAGGGAGCTTTGAGATAGTTAAACAGAAGCTTTCCGAAGCTCTAGGTGCTCTTACTGCCTATTACAGGGAAAACCAGCTGATCCCTAATCATATATCATATATATAATATCACACAGGACGACCACCTCACCCGCCTCATAGGAAACCTGCTACAAAACAGGAGCTTTTTTGTTGAGTTCCAGGGCCAGAGAAGCAGATGGCGGAAACAGAAGAACGGCCTGCCTCAGGGGAGTGTGCTTGCTCCATCCATGTTCAACATCTACACAAATGACCAGCCACTGCCAGAAGGGACAGAGAGCTTCATCTATGCTGATGATCGTGCCATCACCGTTCAAGCAGGGAGCTTTGAGATGGTTGAACAGAAGCTTTCCGAAGCTCTAGGTGCTCTTACTGCCTACTACAGGGGAAACCAGCTGATCCCCAAAAACACAGACATGTGCTTTTCATCTCAAGAACAGACAAGCATCCAGAGCTCTGAGGATCACCTGGGAAGGAATCCCACTGGAGCATTGCAGCACACCCAAATCCCTGGGAGTCACTCTGGACCGTGCTCTTACCTAGAAGAAGCACTGCCTGAACATCAAGCAAAAAGTGGGCGCCAGAAACAATATCATACGAAAGCTGACTGGCACAACCTGGGGATCACAACCAGACACAGTGAAGACATCTGCCCTTGCGCTGTGCTACTCTGCTGCTGAGTACACATGCCCAGTGTGGAACACATCTCACCACGCTAAAAGAGTGGATGTGGCTCATAATGAGACATGCCGCATTATCACAGGGTGCCTGCGCCCTACACCACGGGAGAAATTACACTGCTTAGCCAGTATTGCACCACCTGACATCCACCGGGAAGGAGCAGCCAATAGTGAAAGGACCAAGGCAGAGACATCTCCAGCTCATCCCGTGTTTGGGTATCAGCCAGCACGTCAACGACTTACATCAAGAAATAGTTTTCTAAGATCTACAGAGACACTCGCTGGAACACCTCAGCAAGCGAGAGTCCAAAGGTGGCAGGCTCAAACTCAGAACCTCAACCAATGGCTGATACCCAATGAGAGACTCCCCCCTGGGCACACAGGAGACTGGGCGACTTGGAAGGCGCTGAACAGACTGTGCTCTGGCACCACGAGATGCAGAGCCAACCTCAAGAAATGGGGCCACAAAGTGGAGTCCACGACATGCGAGTGCGGAGAAGAGCAAACCACTGACCACCTGCTGCAATGCACCCTGAGCCCCGCCACATGCACCATGGATGGACACAAAAGATCACAACGAAGCATATACTTTAGTTATGGGATGTAGGGCCCGAAAGCCCTCCAGAACTTACATTCTTTGCCTTTTCCGCCTTGTTTTTCTCTTCCTGGGAAGGTGAGCCTTCTTCCGGGGGGAGGGTCAAGCGCAGGCGGCAAACGCTGGTCTAAAAGAAAGAGAAAGTGCTGCTTTCAGCCCACATTCCTTTCACTGTGAACAGGGCCAAAAGTTTCTTTCTAACAAAGGCTTCCTGTAATGCAAAGCACAAGAGAAAGGGAAGTCAAGGGCAATTTTGTGTCCGAAGTTATTAAATGCTGGGGAAAGGGGCAAGGAGAGGGCTTGCTCGGCATCTTCCTTTCAGAAATCACTCTTAAGCAATTTCACCATGTCACAACATTCGGAAAAGTTTCTGTTCCTGGTTTGAAAGGGTTATTTCCTGTTTAATTGTGTGGTATTTACTTGGAAAGTAGTTGTTAAACTTCAGAAACTTCATTTTTGTGGTGACAAACTATGTTGAATTGGTTGACACCTATGAGATATTCATTAAAAAACTATAGCAAAATGTACCTGTCCGAACGTATTCTCCCCTATGAACCATCAAGGACGTTAAGATCTTCCGGAGAGGCCCTGCTCTCAGTCCCACCACCTTCGCAAGCCCATTTGGTGGGAACAAGAGACAGGGCCTTTTCTGTGGTGGCCCCTCAGCTATGGAATTATTATTATTATTTTTACTTTATTTGTATACCGCACTCTCTCAGCCCATAGGCGACTCAGTGCGGTTTACAGCCAGGTCAATATACAAGGTGCACAACATTAGCATTTAAAACAGTAACTAAAGCAACTACATCGATATAACAATATAACGGTACATCAATATAACATCTATACATCTATATAACTAATCCATCACGTCTCATCAGTAAAGTCATAATCCGATCTCCTCGTCCATTATTCCAAGTTCCAAGATCAATCAATTAATTGCACTGCTTAATTAAACGCCTGTTCAAAGAGCCAGGTCTTCACTCTTCTCCTGAACGCCAGCAGGGAGGGGGCTGATCTAATATCTGCGGGAAGGGCGTTCCACAGCCGAGGGGCCACCACTGAGAAGGCCCTGTCTCTCGTCCCCGCCAGGCGTGCTTGTGAGGCTGGCGGGATCGAGAGCAGGGCCTCCCCGGACGATCTTAATGTCCTAACTGGTTCATAGGAGGAGATGCGTTCGGACAGGTAGGTCGGGCCAGAACCGTTTAGGGCTTTAAAGGCTAAAGCCAGCACTTTGAATTGTGCCCGGTAGCAAATTGGCAGCCAGTGGAGCTGGCGCAACAGGGAGTGGTGTGCTCCCTGAGTGCCGCTCCTGTTAACAACCTGGCTGCCGAGCGCTGGACCATTTGTAGCTTCCGAGCAGTCTTCAAAGGCAACCCCACGTAGAGAGCAAGATTAGATCTGCCCCTTCCCTCTTGTCCTTCAGGAGGCTTCCTTGGAGACTAGGACGCAATGGAGCCATGGCTTCAAACTACAAGAGAGGAGATTCCACCTGAACATGAGGAAGAACTTCCTGACTGTGAGAGCCGTTCAGCAGTGGAACTCTCTGCCCTGGAGTGTGGTGGAGGCTCCTTCTTTGGAAGCTTTGAAACAGAGGCTGGATGGCCATCTGTTAGGGGTGCTTTGAATGCAATATTCCTGCTTCTTGGCAGAATGGGGTTGGACTGGATGATGGCCCAGGAGGTCTCTTCCCACTCTAGTATTCTATTATTATTATTATTATTATTATTATTATTATTATTATTAAGCAGAGGCTGGCTGGCCATCTGTCAGGGGTGCTTTGAATGCAATATTCCTGCTTCTTGGCAGAATGGGGTTGGACTGGATGATGGCCCAGGAGGTCTCTTCCAACTCTATTCTATTATTATTATTATTATTATTATTATTATTATTATTAAGCAGAGGCTGGATGGCCATCTGTCAGGGGTGCTTTGAATGCAATATTCCTGCTTCTTGGCAGAATGGGGTTGGACTGGATGATGGCCCAGGAGGTCTCTTCCAACTCTAGGATTCTATGATAAGGACATTTAGGACATTCCCAAGAGGGAAATCACAAGCCTCCCCAAACCCAAGAATCGGGCCTCTTGGAGAAGCAGGCTTTCCCAGGTGACCTCATGTTTCTGTCCCTTGGAGCATGCAAGGAATGCGAGTCCCCGCTTGATAAGGGCCTGCCTTGTCAAACGAGTGGAAAAAAACAATTTAAAGGGGGGGGGGGGACTGCAAGAAGAACCCCTGCTCTGGATCGCTTTCAATGCAGCTTTAAAGGAGCTGTCAAGATCCTAATCTTAATTACGAGACATTTCCAAAATAATTTACACACGATTAGCAGAGGGTTTAAAGGTTTAATTGCTAGTATATCGTCATTGTTCATTCCTTTGAGGCCTCCTCATGAATTGAGATATGCTTAAGTACCTCTCAAACATTGTTTTTCAGCAGAGAGCACTGAGATTGTTTTGGAGACCAGCTTTCTATCACTCTGAGTTGACGAAATGGCCAGGAATGGAGGAAGGAGAGCAAGCTCAAGAGCCAAACATTGCCTCCCATCATAGATTCCCAAATTGAAGCACAGGGTCAACGATAGTCATGGGCGATTTCATCAGATGTAGTAGTCATGGGCGATTTCAACTATCCCGATATTTGCTGGAAAACAAACTCGGCCAAGAGTACAAGGTCCAACAAATTCCTCGCTTGCCTTGCAGACAATTTCATGGTCCAGAAGGTAGAAGAGGCAACAAGGGGGTTGGCTACTCTTGATCTCATCCTAACAAATGCGGAGGACCTGATTGATGCGGTTGAAGTGGTCGGATCCTTAGGGAAACCGAACAAAGGGGAGAGGAGGCGGAGTAGCCTTATATGTCAAAAACTGTTATGCTGCAGAAGAGATGCAAGAGAGCAAGAGATGTAGTAGTCATGGGCGATTTCAACTATCCCGATATTTGCTGGAAAACAAACTCGGCCAAGAGTACAAGGTCCAACAAATTCCTCGCTTGCCTTGCAGACAATTTCATGGTCCAGAAGGTAGAAGAGGCAACAAGGGGGTTGGCTACTCTTGATCTCATCCTAACAAATGCGGAGGACCTGATTGATGCGGTTGAAGTGGTCGGATCCTTAGGGAAACCGAACAAAGGGGAGAGGAGGCGGAGTAGCCTTATATGTCAAAAACTGTTATGCTGCAGAAGAGATGCAAGAGAGCAATCCGGGAAACCAGCTTGAAAGCATCTGGATAAGAATCAAGGGAATTGGGACTCAAAAAGATGTCATTGTAGGCATCTACTACAGACCTCCAAGCCAGGAGGAAGAACTTGATGAAGTCTTCTGCCAACAGTTGACCAAACAGGCACAGAGAAGAGATGTAGTAGTCATGGGCGATTTCAACTATCCCGATATTTGCTGGAAGTACAAAGGAAGGCCAAAACTAAGACAAGTCAAACCCGCATTTTGGACTTTAGGAGAGCTGATTTCCGAAAAATGAAGGAAACACTGAGCAGCATTCCGTGGACACAAATACTAAAAGACAAGAGAGTTACGGATGGATGGGAATTTCTCAAGAGTGAAATACTCAAGGCGCAATTGCAAACAGTGCCAACAAAGAGAAAAAACAGGACAAGTGCAAAGAAGCCAGAATGGATGTTCAAAGAACTTCTAACTGTGCTAAGACACAAAAGAGACATGCACAAGAAGTGGAAAAAGGGAGAAATCACCAAAAAAGAATTCAAACAAATAGCCAAAACCTGTAGTGAAAAGGCCCGCAAGGCTAAAGCACAAAACGAGCTCAGGCTTGCCAGGGACATTAAAAACAACAAAAAGGGCTTCTTTTCTTATGTCAGTAGAAAAAGGAAAAACAAGGAGGCGATAGGGCCTCTTTGAGGAGAAGATGGGGCAATGCTGACAGGAGATGATAGGGAAAAGGCAGAACTACTTAATGCCTTCTTTGCCTTGGTCTTCTCACAAAAAGAGAGGACAATTTCATGGTCCAGAAGGTAGAAGAGGCAACAAGGGGGTTGGCTACTCTTGATCTCATCCTAACAAATGCGGAGGACCTGATTGATGCGGTTGAAGTGGTCGGATCCTTAGGGAAACCGAACAAAGGGGAGAGGAGGCGGAGTAGCCTTATATGTCAAAAACTGTTATGCTGCAGAAGAGATGCAAGAGAGCAATCCGGGAAACCAGCTTGAAAGCATCTGGATAAGAATCAAGGGAACTGGGACTCAAAAAGATGTCATTGTAGGCGTCTACTACAGACCTCCAAGCCAGGAGGAAGAACTTGATGAAGTCTTCTGCCAACAGTTGACAAAACAGGCACAGAGAAGAGATGTAGTAGTCATGGGTGATTTCAACTATCCCGATATTTGCTGGAAAACAAACTCAGCCAAGAGTACAAGGTCCAACAAATTCCTCGCTTACCTTGCAGACAATTTCATGGTCCACAAGGTAAAAGAGGCAACAAGGGGATTGGCTACTCTTGATCTCATCCTAACAAATGCGGAGGACCTGATCAATGCAGTTGAAACGGTCGGATCCTTAGGGTCAAGTGACCATGGGCTCCTGCAATTTGAGGTACAAAGGAAGGCCGAAACTAAGACAAGTCAAACCCGCATTTTGGACTTTAGGAGAGCTGATTTCCAAAAAGTGAAGGAAACGCTGAGCAGCATTCCGTGGACACAGATATTAAAAGACAAGGATAGGAATTTCTCAAGAGTGAAATACTCAAGGCACAATTGCAAACCGTGCCAACAAAGAGAAAAAATCGGAGAAGTGCAAAGAAGCCAGAATGGATGTCCAAAGAACTTCTAACTGTGCCAAGACACAAAAGAGACATGCACAAGAAGTGGAAAAAGGGAGAAATCACCAAAAAAGAATTCAAATAAATAGCCAACACCTGTTGGGAAAAGGTCCGCAAGGCTAAAGCACAAAACGAGCTCAGACTTGCCAGGGACATTAAAAACAATAAAAAGGGATTCTTTTCTTATGTCAGTAGAAAAAGGAAAAACAAGGAGGCGATAGGGCCTCTTTGAGGAGAAGATGGGGCAATGCTGACAGAGGATGATAGGGAAATGGCAGAACTACTTAATGCCTTCTTTGCCTCGGTCTTCTCACAAAAAGAAAGTCGTCTTCAACCTCAGCAAGATGGAGTGGATGAGGGATTAGAGGACATCCAACCCCAAATTGGGAAACAAGTCATCCAGGAATACCTGGCCGCTCTTAATGAGTTCAAGTCCCCTTTCAGGGCCAGATCAATGACACCCAAGAGTATTGAAGGAACGAAGTCATTTCGGAACCATTGGCAACCATCTTTGAGAGTTCTTGGAGAACGGGAGAAGTTCCAGCAGATTGGAGGAAGGCCAATGTGGTCCCAATCTTCAAGAAGGGAAGAAAGGATGACCCAAACGATGACCGTTGTGAGAGCCGTTCAGCAGTGGAACTCTCTGCCCCGGAGTGTGGTGGAAGCTCCTTCCTTGGGAGCTTTTAAACAGAGGCTGGGTGGCCATCTGTCAGGGGTGATCTGAATGCAATATTCCTGTTTTTGGCAGGATGGGGTTGGACTGGATGGCCCAGGAGGTCTCTTCCAAATCTTTGATTCTATGATTCAGTTTCCACTTTAGGCTTCTTAGGTGTACTTTTCTTTAAAAATCTCCCTAGGACGGAATCCAAAGCAAACGCCACCCAAAAAACCACAGGCTCCTGGTAAAGATGAGTCAAGCCCCGTGATGCCGACAAGGAGACGACAACATGCTTTTGAGACGCAAGTGCTCAAGCCAGTTTATCCTCCTTGGTTTCCAGAACACACTCTCCTCAGCCGGAAACGACCATTTTAAACATAAAAATACAGAATAAAGAGATGAATGTCTAAGTAGCTTTTTTTTGTCATGTGAGGAGCGACTTGAGAAACTGCAAGTCGCTTCTGGTGTGAGAGAATTGGCCGTCTGCAAGGATGTTGTCCAGGGGATACCCGGGTGTTTTGATGTTTTCCCATCTTTGTAGGAGTCTTCTCTCATGTCCCCACATGGGGAGCTGGAGGTGACAAAGGGAGCTCATCCGTGCTTCATAGAATCCTAGAGTTGGAAGAGACCTCCTGGGCCATCATCCAGTCCAACCCCATTCTGCCAAGAAGCAGGAATATTGCATTCAAAGCACCCCTGACAGATGGCCCTCCAGCCTCTAAATAATAATAATAATAATAATAATAATAATAATAATAACAATAATAATAATAATATAAGAGTTGGAAGAGACCTCCTGGGCCATCATCCAGTCCAACCCCATTCTGCCAAGAAGCAGGAATATTGCATTCAAATCACCCCTGACAGATGGCCATCCAGCCTCTGTTTGAAAGCTTCCAAAGAAGGAGCCTCCACCACACTCCGGGGCAGAGAGTTCCACTGCTGAACGGCTCTCACAGTCAGGAAGTTATAGAATCATAGAATCCTAGAATCCTAGAGTGGGAAGAGACCTCCTGGGCCTTTATCCAGTCCAACCCCATTCTGCCAAGAAGCAGGAATATTGCATTCAAATCGCCCCTGACAGATGGCCATCCAGCCTCTGTTTCAAAGCTTCCAAACAAGGAGCCTCCACCAAACTCCAGCAGAGAGTTCCACTGCTGAACGGCTCTCACAGTCAGGAAGTTCTTTCTAATGTTCAGATGGAATCTCCTCTCTTGTAGTTTGAAGCCATTCCTCCATTGCGTCCTAGTCTCCAGGGAAGCAGAAAGGAAGCTTGCTCCCTCCTCCTCCCTGTGGCTTCCTCTCACGTATTTATACATGGCTCTCATCATGTCTCCTCTCAGCCTTCTCTTCTTCAGGCTAAACATGCCCAGCTCCTTAAGCCGCTCCTCATAGGGCTTGTTCTCCAGACCCCTGATCTGCTCCCTCCTCCCTGTGGCTTCCTCTCACATATTTATACATGGCTATCATATCTCCTCTCAGCCTTCTCTTCTTCAGGCTAAACATGCCCAGCTCCTCAAGCCGCTCCTCATAGGGCTTGTTCTCCAGACCCTTGATCCTTTGAGTCGCCCTCCTCTGGACACATCTCTCTTCAATTGTGGTGCCCAGAATCCTAGAGTTTCGTGGGCCATCCAGTCCAACCCCATTCTGTCAAGAAGCAGGAAAATCCCATTCAAAGCACCCCTGACAGATGGCCATCCAGCCTCTGTTTAAAAGCCTCCAAAGAAGGAGCCTCCACCACACTCCCTCTGGGGCAGGGAGTTCCACTTCTGAATGGCTCATATACATATTGTGTATATGGAGGGGCTCCTGAGTGATGTTGGAGGAGGCAGGGTGGAGGGGTGCCTTCCTGGCTGCCCCCTTCACTCTGTCTTTTTGGTGACCCCTCGAACACCCTGTCACGACCTCCCTAGGGGTCCTGACCCCCAGGTTGAGAAACACTGATACGTGTGGTGGAGGCTCCTTCTTTGGAAGCTTTTAAACAGAGGCTGGATGGCCATCTGTCAGGGGTGCTTGGAATGCAATATTCCTGCTTCTTGGCAGAATGGGGTTGGACTGGATGATGGCCCAGGAGGTCTCTTCCAACTGTAGGATTCTATGAGGCTGGATGGAAGAACGTCCTGGCTGTGAGAGCCATTCAGCAGTGGAACTCTCTGCCCCGGAGTGTGGTGGAGGCTCCTTCTTTGGAAGCTTTTAAACAGAGGCTGGATGGCCATCTGTCAGGGGTGATTTGAATGCAATATTCCTGTTTCTTGGCAGAATGGGTTGGACTGGATGGCCCAGGAGGTCTCTTCCCACTCTAGGATTCTATTATTATTATTATTATTATTATTATTATTATTAAGCAGAGGCTGGATGGCCATCTGTCAGGGGTGCTTTGAATGCAATATTCCTGCTTCTTGGCAGAATGGGGTTGGACTGGATGATGGCCCAGGAGGTCTCTTCCAACTCTTTGATTCTATGATTCTATATGTGTGTATGCATATATGTGTGTGTGTGTGTGTACAGAGGCTGAATGGCCATCTGTCGGGGGGGCTTTGAATGCAATTATCCTGCTTCTTGGCAGAATGGGGTTGGACTGGATGATGGCCCAGGAGGTCTTCTGAACACTAGGAAGAACTTCCTGACTGTGAGAGCCGTTCAGCAGTGGAACTCTCTGCCCCGGAGTGTGGTGGAGGCTCCTTCTTTGGAAGCTTTTAAACAGAGGCTGGATGGCCATCTGTCAGGGGTGCTTTGAATGCAATATTCCTGCTTCTTGGCAGAATGGGGTTGGACTGGATGATGGCCCAGGAGGTCTCTTCCCACTCTTTGATTCTATGATTCTATGAATCAGTAAGAACAAGAATAGTAAGACTAAGTAAGAAGCCACACCTGGGAACTGCTGGGCCATTCAATGCTAATCAAGGTGGCCAATTGAAACATTCCCACCTGAGAGTCCTTTCTCCCACCCTGGACTTTATTCCACAGATATATAAACCCCACTGGAGTAGTTTCACAAGAGACCTCTGAGGATGCCTGCTGGAGATGCAGGCGAAACGTCAGGAGAGAATGCTTCTGAAACACAAAACCACCCAGTAAGAAGAAGAAGAAGGGTAAGAGTCAGAAGGGTTGTGTTGGAGGAGGAGGAGGAGGAGGAGGAGGAGGGGGGGTGCCCTTCCTGGGTGGTGGTCTCACCTTCCTGGGCGTGCCCACGGCCTCTCCGTCGGGGGGCTTCCTGGGCTTGGTGGTGGTGAGCGTGGTGAGGCTGAGGCCAGAGCTGAAGGACCGCTGCATCCTCCCCTTTGGAAAGGACAAGCCCTGTGCTTCAGTTCCTCTTCGTCCGCCTTCACAACAGCAGCAGCAGCAGCAAGAACAGCAGCCTCCACCTCTGGAGCCTCCCAGGGAGGAAGCAAGCAAGGGAGGGAGGAAGGAAGGAAGCCAGGCAGGCAGGCAGGGAGGGAGGAGGCCAGGCAGGCACGCCTTCCCTCCACTCAGGACAAACCCACAGGACCTCTCCTGGTCATCACCTGCTCCTCTGTCATATCTAGGGCTGGGTGGCCCTCTCTTGGGAGGGATCAGATGGTGCCTTCCTGCCTGGCACAAAAGAAGGGGGCTGGGCTGGATGGCCTTTGGGGGACCCTTCCCAATCTGGGCTACTACCAGGGCTGAAGGAAAAGTAATGCCTCCACCTGCATTACTTGCATTTGGATGGGAATATTTTAATACATCAAATGCAGAAATAATAATCCTTAGAATCTGCTCCTTAACAACAACAACAACAACAACAACAACAATCTCGGTGCGGCTTACATGAGGCCAATAATAATAATAATAATAATAATAATAATAATAATACTTTATTTGCACCCCGCTACCATCTCCGCAAGGGACTCGGTGCGGCTTACATGAGGCCAATAATAATAATAATAATAATAATAATAATAATAATAATAATAATAATATTATTTGCACCCCGCTACCATCTCCGCAAGGGACTCGGTGCGGCTTACATGAGGCCAATAATAATAATAATAATAATAATAATAATAATAATAATAATAATACTTTATTTGTACTCCGCTACCATCTCCCCAAGGGACTCGGTGCGGCTTACATGAGGCCAATAATAATAATAATAATAATAATACTTTATTTGTACCCCGCTATCATCTCCCCAGGAGCCCCAGGTGGCGCAGTGTGTTAAAGCACTGAGCTGCTGAGCTTGTTGATCGAAAGGTCGCAGGTTTGATTCCGGGGAGTGGTGTGAGCTTCCCTGTCAGCCCCAGCTTCTGCCAACCTAGCAGTGCGAAAACATGCAAATGTGAGTAGATCAATAGGTACCGCTCCGGCGGGAAGGTAACGGCGCTCCATGCAGTCATGCTGGCCACATGACCTTGGAGGTGTCTACGGACAACGCCGGCTCTTCGGCTTAGAAATGGAGATGAGCACCACACCCCAGAGTCAGACATGACTGGACTTAATGTCAGGGGACTACCTTTACCTTTACCTTTTTACCATCTCCCCAATGGGACTCGGTGCGGCTAACATGAGGCCAAGCCCAAAATAATACACATAATAATAATAATAATAATAATAATAATAATACTTTATTTATACCCCGCTACCATCTCCCCAAGGGACTTGGAGCAGCTTACATTAGGCCAATTATTAACTTTTTATTAACAAGCCCAACAACACATCAGTAAACAACAACAACAACAACAATAATAATAATAATAACACTTTATTTATACCCCACCACCATCTCCCCAAAGGACTCAGAGTGCCCAACAACACATCAGTAAATAATAATAATAATAATAATAATAATAATAATAATAATAATACTTTATTTATACCCCACCACCATCTCCCCAAGGGACTCAGAGCAGCTTACATGAGGCCAAGCCCAACAACACATCAGTAAACAACAACAACAACAACAACAACAATAATAATAGAACTTTATTTATACCCCGCTACTATCTCCCCAAGGGACCCGGAGCAGGTTACATGAAGCCAAGCCCAACAACCCATCAGTAAATAATAATAATAGTAATAATAATAATAATACTATTTATACCCCGTCACCATCTCCCCAAGGGACTTGGAGCGGCTTACATGAATCATAGAATCCTAGAATTGTAGAGTTGGAAGAGACCTCCTGGGCCATCCTCCAGTCCAACCCCATTCTGCCAAGAAGCAGGAATATTGCATTCAAAGCACCCCCTGACAGATGGCCATCCAGCCTCTGTTTAAAAGCTTCCAAAGAAGGAGCCTCCACCACACTCCGGGGCAGAGAGTTCCACTGCTGAACGGCTCTCACAGTCAGGAAGTTCTTCCTCATGTTCAGATGGAATCTCCTCTCTTGTAGTTTGAAGCCATTCTTCCATTGCGTCCTAGTCTCCAGGGAAGCAGAAAACAAGCTTGCTCCCTCCTCCTCCCTGTGGCTTCCTCTCACATATTTATATATGGCTATCATATCTCCTCCCAGCCTTCTCTTCTTCAGGCTAAACATGCCCAGCTCCTTAAGCCGCTCCTCATAGGGCTTGTTCTCCAGACCCTTGATCATTTTAGTCGCCCTCCTCTGGACACATTCCAGCTTGTCAATATCTCTCTTGAATTGTGGTGCCCAGAATTGGACACAATATTCCAGGTGTGGTCTAACCAAAGCGTAATAGAGCATGGGGAGCAGGACTTCCCTAGATCTAGGCACTATGCTCCTCTTGATGCAGGCCAAAATCCCATTGGCTTTTTTTGCTGCCACATCCCATTGTTGGCTCATGTTCCCCTTCCTCCCCACGAGGACTCCAAGATTTTTTCCACACGTCCTGCTCTCGAGCCAGGCCGGCATTGTCCCCCATTCTGTCTCTTTGCATTTCGTTTTTCCTGCCAAAGTGGCGAGTCTCTTGCATTTGTCCCTCTTGCATTTGTCCCTCTTGAACTTGTGGAGTCTCTTGCATTTGTCCCTCTTGAACTTCATTGTGTTAGTTTTGGCCCATCATCTCTCTAATCTGTCAAGGACTCCAAGATCTTTTCCCCACGTCCTGCTCTCCAGCCAGGCCTCCTCGTCCCCCATTCTGTCTCTTAGCATTTCATTTTTTCTGCCTAAGTGGAGTATCTTGCATTTGTCCCTGTTGAACTTCATTTTGTTAGTTTTGGCCCATCATCTCTCTCATCTGTCAAGATCCCTTTGAGTCCTGCTCCCGTCCTCTGGAGTATTGGCTCTCCCTCCCCATTTGGTGTCGTCTGCAAACTTGATGATCCTGCCTTCTCGCCCTTCGTCTAAGTCATGAATGAAGATCCTGAGCAGGACCGGGCCCGGACGGAACCCTGCTTGTGGCCCTCCGCTCGTCCCTTCTTTCCAGGATGAAGAGGAGGAAGCCTTGGGGAGAATCACCCTCTGGGTTCGTCTACTTAACCAATTCCAGATCCACCTCACCGTAGTTTTGCCTCGCCCACCTTGGCCTGGTTTCCTTGCCAGAAGGTCATGGGGGACCTTGTCAAAGAAGGCCTTCCTGGAATCCAGACACGCTCCATCCACGGCATTCCCCATCCACGGCATCTATCAAGCTTGTGTCAATCATGATTTCAAGTAGAAGTCCCGATCAGGACTGTGCGGCTCTTCTTCTTTCCTCCTCCCTGTACCCTAAAAGTCTACTTCAGATGATTTCTAGTTCTACAGGGCAAGGCTTTAGGGCCCAATTCTCATTGAGGCAGTGGAATCCAATTTACAATAGCTGGACCCTGGCCCAAGAGGGGCCTTAATGTGCCCGGTCAGCAGAAGAGAAATTGCCGATCCCCAGCCTGAAAATCTGTGTTGTGCCAAAATCGGAATGTCTAAGAATGACAGGATTAAGTGGGGGAAATGGCCATGCCTTCAACTAGCTTTCAGCGGATGGTTCTTCACTTTATTAATGAACCTTTTAGGAAGTGAGCCTGCTGACATCCCATATTAAGGAGATGATCAATTTGCACATTAGATATGTGGTTAAAGCATTCCAGATAATAGCTCTTCCTCTCATTCTCCCATCCGTCATTGATTCACTTTGAAAAATCTGAGATTTTAAAGGGAGAGATTTGTATAACTCACCTAGATCACTTGGCTATAATATTGCTTCATTGCTATCATAAAATAACCCCATTAGCCCCTGTCCTCCATCTCTGAAGCCAAGAAAGAACAGTGGATCAAGCTGATCACAGAGGTCGACATGGGCAGGAGCAGCCAGAAGGCGTGGAGGCTGCTGAGACGGTTGAGCAACGACCCCTCACAAACTCATACCCATGCCAACATAAAGGCAGATCAGATAGCACACCAACTCTTGAAGAATAGGAATCTGAGTGTGTGTTTACGATTAGCTGCTGTGAGTGTTTGCTTTGTTTGAGAGGGAATGGGAAACCCAACCTTGCCACCAAAGTAGGAAAGAAACCAATAGCCAGACAACAAGAGATTGAGAACAACAACCTTCATGAACCCTTTACATCTACTGAATTGGACATGGCTCTCAATAAATGTAAGAATGGCAAAGCAGCTGGCCTGGATGATCTACGGATGGAACAAATCAAGAACTTTGGTCCAAAAGCAAGGCGCTGGCTGCTGGAGCTGATGAACAACTGCACTGCATCCTGTCAGATCCCCAAAATCTGGAGGAAAGCAAGAGTCATCGCCATCTTGAAGCCAGGCAAAGACCGTAATGATCCAAAAAGCTATAGACCAATCTCCTTGTTATGTTATGTTTTTAATTTGCTTTGTATCGTATTGTTATTGTCTGTTGTTGTTGTGTTGAGGCCTTGGCCGCATCGAGTCCTTCGGGAGATGCTAGCGGGGTACAAATAAAGTTAATAATAATAATAATAATAATAATAATAATAATAATAGCTACAGACCAATCTCCCTGTTATGCCATCTTTACAAAGTTCTGGAGAGACTTATTTTGCATAGAATTACAGAAAAAATAGACCCCTGTCTGATTCCACAGCAAGCTGGCTTCAGGAAAGGCAAAAGCTGCACATCGCAAGTGCTGAACCTGACTCAGCACATAGAAGATGGCTTTGAAAGGCAGCAGATCACAGGAGCTGTCTTCATAGACCTGTCAGCGGCTTATGAGACTGTGAACCACCGCCTCCTCCTGAGAAAAATGTATAGTATCACAAAGGACGACCACCTCACCCGCCTCATAGGAAACCTGCTACAAAACAGGAGCTTTTTTGTTGAGTTCCAGGGCCAGAGAAGCAAATGGCGGAAACAGAAGAACGGCCTGCCTCAGGGGAGCGTGCTTGCTCCATCCATGTTC